GTGACTCCAGTGAGGCTAGTGCAACTGCCATGCCTCACCCCACAGCCCCTCCCAAGGCCAGCCTTGCCATATTCCAGGTGAGATGGAGGGTTTGGCAGCCAAACCTGGGCTTGGTGGGAGGAACCCCCACCCTCACCTGGCAGATGGCACCTTTCCCTCTCTCTGGACCAGGCCCCTCATCTCAGGATGGGAGGGGGCTGACTGGGATACATAGAGGGGGGCTGGGTCCAGCACGCCCCCTCACCCACCAGTGCTCTTTGACCTGTCACTGCTTCCTCCTCCACCCTGGCTCTGTCCCACAGCCCCCGGGGAAGGCCCTCACTGGCCGCTCCGTGGGCCCCAGCTCCGCCCTGCCAGGTGACCCCTACAACCCTGCCACGGGCCCTGCTGACTTCGAGATCAGCCCCTCCGCATCCAGCGACTCTGGGGAAGGCATCTCGGTGAGGGCTCCCATGTGTCCCTTCCCTGTCCCAGTCCAGAACAGGTCAGCCTGTGGCCTCCCGCCCTCTGCAGCTCTCCTTGACCCAGCCTGGTCCCTGAACAGGGCTCACAGCACACAAGTGGGCTCCTGTAAGCTGGGGAAGGTGCCCAAGGGCACGAGCCCTGTGGGGCGGGCAGCACACAGGACACATGCACAGCCATCTCACACACAAGTATGCTCACACATGCACAAAGTACTTCGGCAGCTGAGCAAGGTGTGATTAGGATCCACACAAAGTACCAGGATGAGTGCTCCTGGACATTTACCCTTGGACCTCCTCTGTCTGGGGCTGGGGAGGACAGAGTTGGCCAGCGCCTGGTTGAGCCCCTGGGAGCCTTTTGGGCAGTGCCTGGGGTGGGGGGAAGAGCTCCACGTTCCCCCTCTGCACTTGGCCTGGGCTGAGTAACAGGTGCGGGATAGTGAGGAAGGGACCTTCCTGCCTGAGAGCATTTCTCTTCCCTACTAGCTGGATGTGGGTGCCAGGAACACCAAGGCTGGTGGGCCTGGGGCTTCTGTGGGGCCCCAGGAGGCAGGCCCAGGCTCTGGGGCAGGCCCCGTCCTGCAGTTCTTCACCCGCCTGAGGCGCCATGCCAGCTTGGATGGGGCCAGCCCCTACTTCAAGGTCAAGAAATGGAAGCTGGAGCCCAGCCAGCGGGCATCAAGCCTGGACACAAGAGGTGAGCTGTAGCCCCAGGCAGGGAGTGAGGGCCATGAACCCTGCCCCAGGCAGCCAGAGTAGGAGGCTCAGAACCCAGGGTGGGGATCTCTGCTCCTGAGGGATCTCCAGCACCTGCCCCACGCTGGCCAGTGTGTGCCCTGTCCAAGGTCTCATAGCTGGTTGGGAAGGGGCCCAGGGCCATGCATCAAGCCTTTATGGGGACCCAGACAATAGTGCTTATAGCTTTGCACTCAGACTGTCTACAGTGGTGGTAGGCAGCATACAGCATAGGAATGAGTGTGGCTGTGTGCCAATAAAATTTATTTACAACAGGTGGGGGCCCATTTGGCCACCCCTGGATAAATGACAGCAGCCTTCAACACTGCAGACCCTGGGGCACGTGGGGTCATGGATATAGGGCTTCCTTATCCTCAGCCCAAGGCAGAACTGTGCAGGAGTGTGGGGAGGTGGGTACCGACAGCTGTAACCAGCCCTGCTCCAAGGAGCTTAGACCAGGCCAGGCCAGGCGTGTGCTTGCTGCCCTGTGGAGGAGGCAGGGAGAGAAGACAGACAGTATCAGAGGGGCATGGCTAGTGACAGTGCCAGCCCCTTGTTGGGGCCTGGCTCCAGCTAGCACCAGAGAGGGTAGGGTGAGTTCTGGCCTAGGTGCTCCTGGCCAGGGAGGGACGGCTTGTACTTCTGCCTTGTTGGGAGCCCTGATTGCAGCCTGTGATTCCTGAGGCTGACTAGTGAAATGCAGGTGCCGAAGCACCCAGAACCTATTTGCTAGGTGACTGTTCTCTCCACTCCTGAGGCCTTCCCACTGAAGCTTCTCCCAGGCCTCTGTGGTGAGAGGATCCTGGCCCCCATCCAGGCGGCCTGTTGGCATCCTGGCAGACATGGGGCTGGCAGGAGAGGACTTCACCTCTTCCCTCATCCCCCCAACTTGCCCCTCGCACTTCACACCTTCCTGCATCACATCTGCTTTAGCCCAGCTGTGCTTGCCACTGGGTGGCCAGTGAAAGTCCTTGCTCTAGCCAGACCTATCTTCCCAGGCTGCTCAGGGCACTGCTGCTGCCTTGGCACAACCTCACACCTGTACAGCAAGGTACATGCTCATCTGACCCAGGCTGGTGCCTACAGACCTGGGGGTGGGGTGCAGGGCTGGGAGGGGCCCAGGCAGGCTGATGTGCCTCCCTCCACACAGGCTCCCCCAAGCGGCACCACTTCCAGCGGCAGCGAGCAGCCAGCGAGAGCATGGAGCAGGAGGAGGGGGACACACCCCACATGGACTTCATTCAGTACATTGCCAGCACAGGCGCTGCCTTGACCTTCCCGCCCCCCTGCCCCTTTCTGGCCAGCCCCACCAGCCCGTCCCCCGCTCTCGGCAGGTATTTTTCAGTAGATAAAAGTGCTAGGGGTGGGCCTGTGGGCCCCTTCCCTACCCCATCACCCTGTAGCCGAGGGAGTGCTTTCCCGGTCCTGTCTGCAGGACAGAGAGGCAGTCAAATTCCTCCAGCACCACTGCCCCTCCTGGAGTCTGCCTCACTGGGGCCACGTCTCCAGCATGGACCGGAGGAGGGGAGCAGGGGGAGACTGGGTAAGGGCCAAGGGGAGGGTGGGGCCCCTGACGATGGCCCCAGGGTCACCAGGACTAAACGCTTACACAGGCAGGGCTGCTGGGGGTCCGTGCATGCTAGGGTAGTGCCACTTCCCAGTGGAGTCCTTGGCCTGAGGGCTCCTCCCAGCCCTGCACCCCACCTGCCCGGGCTCCTTCTCAAAAACTGTCCTGACCACATCTGTCAGCTGGACCCACCTCCCCAAGCCCAAGGGCAGCTATCCTGAAGCTCTGGGCCCGTGGCAGTGAGATGGGGGATCCAGGGAACAGAGCGGAGTTCTATATTTGGGCACTCCCTGGTCTAGGTAGTGACCCCTTGTGATTGTATATCATCCGCCCTAATTTTTATCAATCAAAAATGGTGGGAGGGTATTAAGTGGCATATCCAATCACCCATGGGTAGGGGCCCTCCACCTGCTTAGTCCCTCTGCACTGTCCCCACCTGCAGTCACTCTCTAGGTGAGGAGCAGAGCACCTACAGGGCTCACAGGTGTTTGGGTCACGTATAAGACATCCTAGTTGAAAAGCAGGCTCCAGGAGAGCTCAGGGTTTACCCAAAAAGCATCCCTTGCAAAGGGGAATTTTAAAAAAACTCACCTTGTGCAGAGCCTGGCCAAGGTGGAGAGTCCCCATCCTTGCCCACCGTCCCTGATCACGCAGGGTAGAGCTGGGGAGGGGATGGGGGGAGGGCCCTCTGACCAATGCGCCTGGCTTGCAGGCTAGAGGTGGAGGAGGAGGAGGCAGGCGCCGTGGGAGGAGTGAGCCCCGAACCCCCCACGGAGCGCAACGTAGGTGGTGCGGGGCCTGAGCAGCAGCAGGAGTCGGACAGTGAGCGAGACGCAGGGCTGGAGCAAGCCCAGACCATCTACCGCGACATCTGGAGCCTGCGCGCCTCGCTTGAGTTGCATGCAGCCACCGCCTCAGACCACAGCAGCAACGACCGCGACTCAGTGCGTAGCGGCGACAGCTCTGGCTCCGGGGGCACAGCTCCCACCTTCCCGCCGCCCTCGCCACCACCTGCGCTGCGGTCTTCGGATGGTGAGGTGGGAGGGCCGCGCAAGCTGCTGCAGATGGACAGTGGCTATGCCAGCATTGAGGGGCGCGGCGCTGGTGACGATGGGCCTCCCAGTGCGCCCCAGAAGCGCTCCTCCTTCACCAGTGCAGGCCATGCGGCTACCATGGGGGGCAGCTTTGAGGGGACCCCGCCTGAGGAGTCCACCTGGCCTCCCAGCCCACGTGCCTGGCCGCGTCGCACACCACGCCGGGACTACAGTGTGGATGAGAAGACTGATGCGCTCTTCCATGAGTTCCTGCGCCATGACCCGCACTTCGATGACGCCCCGCCCGCCACTGCGCGCCATCGAGCACGCGCACACCCACACACCCACCCTCGCAAACAGTGGCAGCAGCGTGGCCGGCAGCACAGTGACCCTGGGGAGCGAGCTGCACCCTCTGCACCGCCTGGGCCCGACTCCCGCCCCACGCGCGCGCCACTGCGCCGTGGTGATAGTGTCGATTGCCCGCCCGACCCACGCACAGGTGAAGACCCAACGAGCACCCCAGCGTCCACCATCCCGGCGATCGAGGAGGAACCTGGCAGCGGGTGCCCTGGATCAGGCCTTTGTGCCCAGCCCTCAGGGGCACTGCTGGACAAGCTGGCAGCCGGCCTTGAGGACAGACTCTTCCTGCCACACCTCGCCCAGCCAGTCAGTGCAGCCCCCGTGCTGGCTGCCGCCACCGCAGCGCCTACATCGCCGGACCACAGTCCCGCCTAAGCCCCACGACCAGCTCTCCAGCTCCTATCGCGTGCACAAGGGCTCTGCAGACGGACATACCAGGGGCACGAGGTCCCGGTGCGCTATCTTCTGCACAAGCGTACTGCCCTGGATGCCCACACTGCCCCAGAGCGCATGTGCACAGTCCCCTCCAGTCACTAAGCTGGCTTCCTGTGTTATTCCTAGGCACAAGGACCCTGGCTTATCTGGAGGGAAAGAGGCATAGTCTCATCTTTGTGCTTCGGAGGAACACATTCAACTGTCCCTACCCCAGACAGTGTGGCCTCTGGAGAGTGGCTGGGCTTTCCTTCGCGGGAGACATGCGCAACGCGCCCTTACCAGGGCCAGCTGAGCCTTGAGGCACGTCTGGGCTGCAGGAGCTGAGTCCACGCCAGTGTGCATGCTCCAAGCCTGCTGAACACGGACCGCAGTGTACTGAGGATCAGTGGAGTGCACCGTCATGGCTGCCAATTACCGGAAGCCGCTCACTGCTGCGTGGGTTTGCTGCAGCCCAAGCCTCCTCCAAGCAATAACCACGGCCACCACCACTGCTGCGCCAAGCCCTGGACAACTCTTTGCAGTACCCTTGGTGTCTGCAACTGCCCTCCGCATGTGACTGGGCTGCCCGCCCCACAGCCACACATCCAAAGAGCCCCAAGACTCATCAGTGTTTGAGACTTATACAAAATCCAAATGGCCAAGGTTTCAAGTTTCCCAAGCTTTATTTATTGCCAAAAGATGGGGCAGCTGAGCCGCCCCGCCCCACCAAGCTTCCTGCAGTCTGTGTACCATTCATTCAGTGATGGAGTTTGTTTTCTGGTTGATTATAAATATTTACTGCATACTCTGGCTTGCTCTGGGTTTTCTCTGGGGACCTAGGAGCAGAGGCCTGGGGGAAAAAAGGCCAGGATCCTGCTGTCACACTTGGCCCCTGTGCTGTGGAGCTGTAGGCCCTGGGATGAAGCTGAAGGGCCTGCTTAGCTTTGGAGAGACAAGGTTGCCACTGCGAGAGCAGAGGCCCAGTGTGGCTAAAGACAGACCCCCGTGGAGGCCCAGGACCTCCACACATCGAGGACAAGAGCTGACTACCTTGGCCAGTTCCTGCACTGTGGGGTCTGCAGAGGGGCCCCATGCACAGACTCAGATGACCCACCTGACAAGCATATTCTGCCACCCAACAATTCCCAAACACCCCTCACAACCACAGCTCAAATCGACCTGTTTTATTTTTTCTTAAAAAAAAAAAAAAAAAAAAAAACAAAACCAACCAAGCAACAAAACAAGGCAGCCACCTGGCTCCCAAGGGCACTGGGCAAGCGTCTTGGTGGGCAGGCCCGTCCACCCCCACTCGAAGTCCACCCCCACTTGATCGCAGTTTGTTTGAACACATTAGGTGTGGGAGGTGCTGTGTAGCAAAGTAAAGAGAAGTCGGGCGAGAACCAGTAGTCTAAACGTAAAGTGCACGGCGAGGTCTGTGCGGGGCCCATGGCCTGGCCTCACCCTCCCCTGGCCAGGAAAGGGGCCCAGCACGGGATTGCAAAGTCAACAGGAGGTTGTATCCACTGCCCACAACGCGGAGGAGGGGGACAGACTCCAGTCTCTGATGTTGCCTAGCCACAACCCTCCAGGACCCCCTGGCTTCCGGAGGAGTGGTCAGCACGAAGGGTATGGCAGTGGCCTTCCTGGGCGGTGGGCAGTGGGCCGGCAGTCGTCGGGAAGACTGAGGACCCGGGCCATGGCATCTGGCCAGGACTCCCAGAGATGGGCTGCAGACAGACAGAAGGTGTGTCAATTCCAGGCCAACAAACATGTTCTGCATTTCTGGGGGCATCCCCACCCTGGTGTCCACTAGTAGGGCAGGGAAACAGGCCCAGTCCCATGGGGTTGTCAGACATCTGGAGAGGCCAGGGGAAGCTTTGCGGACTTGGGCCCCTGTGAGTCACTCATTGCACAAGAGGATTAAGGGCCTCCAGAGGCCCCACGGCTGGGCAGGGGTAGCTGCTGCCTCTGGCCTACACCTGACTGCCCACATCCTGAGCAGGTGACAGGGTCTCCAGCACCTCCAGGGCCTCTGATCCCCACTTCCTAAACTGGGGCAGCCAGGAATCAGAAGGGAAAGCAGACACGAGGAGTACAGCCTCAGTTAGACCCCACCCACTCCCCACTACTCCCCGCCCCTGGCCTTCCTCCAACACAGGGGCCCCACTTCCCAAGTGGCTAGCATCCTACAGGAAGTGACCTCGGCCTCCAACCCTGCTGGCAGTCACCACAGACTGCCAGGACTTCGAAGGGCAGAACTGGACATGGTCAGCCATGGCCATAAGGGCGGCCTAGTTAAGTCTGGGCAATGCTTACTCCTGCCCATCCCCGTCATCCCCACTGTGGCCCACCTACAGCCAACCGCCCTCACTGCTGCTTGCAGGCTGACAGCCGACGGATCTTGCCACTGGCAGAACAGGCCTTGCGGGCAGGGTTGGAGACTGCACTGGCCCGGCGCTCTGCCCTTGATTTGGTGCTCAGCTGCGCCGAATCAGTACCATTCATGCACATGGTCTTGGACAGGCCCCAACTCTGTCCGTTCTGACTGGCCTCTTCTTCTGGGACTTGTCCTAGGAGGGGGGAGGACAAGTGTGGGCTAATGGAGGCCCAGGACCAACACCCCACACACAGAGCAACCCAGCTCCCCAAGCACGACCCCACCTGTCCCACCCAGGTCTTGCCTGCAGGGGCCCTCACCCGGGTAGAGAGCGAGCTGGTCTCAGGGCTGGCTCGCCAGCCGGGGCAAGACCCAGACACTTGGTGAAGGACCGGGGGCCTGGGACAAGGGTGAGCCTTGGCCCTCTCATCTGTTCAGAGGCCACACCTTGCTGGGACGTGTGAGGCTTGGGAGGGGCTGGGCTGAGGTCAGGTGTGTCTCCCGAAACAGCCCACTGGGATGAAGGATCAGTGCCAGGGACCTACCATGACCCCAATCTCACCCTTGAGGCATCCAAGGAACCACGGGCCAGGGGCTTCACTTCTGTGCTCACTGAGACAGAGAGAAGGGCATGCAGGGAGGGGCCCACGAAGCTCAGTCAGTGCACACTGAAACCTGGCCTACCTTCCTGTGACACTGGTGGGAAATTGCCCTCCGGTACCTGGAGCCCTCAACTCCTCTCCAACAGAGCCCTCTCTCTGCCAAGGGTGTCCAGGGCCCCACTCAGCGGCTTCCAAACTTGCCACACCCGCCCATGTGTGCCCCGGTCAGAGCTCATCCCTGCTCACAGGATCCTGCTAGACAGAGCACGTTGGAGGGGCCTTTGTGCGGATGACCCGCAGCCCAGCCGTCGGCACAACATCTGAGACCTGCCCCACTCACCCTCAAGGCACTGCGCAGGCAGCAACTGGCTGGCCCAAGGCCCAACTCTCAGGGTTGGTGGCAGGACCCCCGTGGTGTGGACAGCTGAGGGCCTCTGAGGGTGACCAACCAAGGCTAGAGTGGGAGGGGTCTTGGCTCCAGTACAGCCTGTCACTGACCCATGAGAAGGTTAGAAAGGAGTGGATGCCTGACCTCAGAACTGGACTGTTTCACTTTTGGCCCAGAGGACATTCCCAGGCTGGGAATCCCCACTGGGGAATGGCCACCATGGCCTCTCACGCAGGCTTGAAGGGTGCTTGGGAGCCAGCTCTAGAGGCCAGTTAGGATCCTCACTCAGCCTTGCCAGGACAACAGGCTGCCTACTGGTGAGGGTGACACCCAGGTGCTGCCAATGAGGAGACATCCAGGTGCCTGTAACCTGCCACAGGCCCCAGTGCCTCTGAGAGGCAGGACACCTCACTCTTGTTCTGTGGAGGAGACAGAGGGTCCAGGAGGCCTTAGGTCCAGGACTGGACTGCACCTAGGTCTCCCAGGGCCAGAGCACCACACATATTGCTTCGATATTCCCCACAGGAAATGGCTAAACCAAAGCCACAGTGACTTGGGACCCTGAGGGCACTAGCCCCAAGCTGACTCTGTGGCCAGCTGCAAGGGGCACCAAAGACCCCAAAACAACAGGATATCTGGACCCCATCCAGCTCTACCGGGGACAGCTCCTGGGGCCCCGCCCACCCCACAGGCTACTGCTGCACACTGGTTCTGTCTACAATAAGAACCTACCACCCGGCCCTGGTCAGGCAGCTCAGTTGGTTAGAGTGTCATGCCGATACACCAAGGCTGTGGGTCCAATCCCTGGTCAGTGCACATACAAGAATCCACCAATGAATACATAAACAAGTGAAACAACAAATCATGTTTCTCTCTCTCGAAAAACAAAAAATCAGTTAACAAAACAAAACAAAAACCTACCATGCTGATGAGCCAGGGAGGGAACACAAGCATCACGCACCCACCCACCCACCCACCCACACACACATCAGGCAAACCTTTATGATGGGGACTGCAGAACCAGCCCCAAAACATCTAGCAGTGGGGAAAACTGCCCAGCCTCCCTCAGACACCCAGACAGGGTCAGTATGGGCCCATGGGAGGTGCTTGGCCTGGCCCCTACAGCCCAGGCAGGCAGGGTGGCTATGCTAAGCATGGAGCTCCTCCTCGAGCTCCTGTGTGCCCCCGGCCTCAGCTTCCTCTGCAGAAAGGTCTGAGCACTGGCTCTGCTGGGTGCCTCGCTCCTCTCTAAGCCCTGCCTCAGACGCCTCCTCGTCACCTGGGGAAGCAAGGCCACTCGTCAGGGTGGGAGGCAGGGTCAGGAGGGCCACTGGACCCTCAGGGCTGTCAGAGGGGCTTCCCACAGCGCTGGCCGCCCAGCAGGATGTAGTGTACAGTCTTTGGAACTAATGTAGGCAGAGCATGTGCAGCCTCTGCCCTCCAGGTAGAGGGAAGGGGGGCAGCCCACCCCACGGATGTCTGTGTACCCCGGTAGGCCCTTGGGTCTGGGATGGCATGGATGGACCTGCCCTGAGGACTTGGGGATGTTGGGGACATCCAGGCTGGGGTACGAACCACTTCGGCTGCCAAGCTCACCAGGCACTGTGAAGTCCTGAGTGTAGATGATGTCATCCTCGATGTCAAAGAGGTCCTCGTCCCCCTCATCATCAGCACAGCCATGAAGGTCCTCCAGGTAGGGCACCACAGTCATACTGCGCCACCGGTCCTTGCAGTCTGAGCTTGGCGGGATGGGCACCAGCTCCTCAGCTGGTGGGTGCTTCTTCCGGAACCAGCTACAGAAGCCGGTACATCAGGACAGCCTGGAGCACCCAGCTCCCCATGCAGGCCCCACACAGCCAGACACCTGGGGACACTCACCTATGCTGCCTGATCTGCTGGATGGAAAACCTCTTAGCCGGCTCATATTCCAGCATCCCTGAGGAGGAGACCATGGGAGAGTCAGCATGGGCCCCTGTGCAGCTCTGCCCGCCCACATGGTACTCTCCGCAGTGCTGGCCCTGTAACTGTGTGGTGCTTGCAGATCAAGGGCCCTGTCTTATGGGGGCACAAGGGCAATCCAGGCACCAAGGCCACACGCAGCCACCTGTGGAAATCTGCACAGCAATAGGCAGTGTGGCTGTGAAGACAAGGAGGGGACACTGCTTTCCAGAACGAGACAGGATGCAGCCCCAGCCCACAGGTGTTGGACCTGCTGTTCGTATGCTTGAGGATGAGGAAGCATGGAACTGCCTTCTGCCAGCACCCAACCAGCAAAGGCCAGTAAAGGTCATGACTGCTGGTTCTAGCCAGGAGTCCACGGACCCAGAAACAGCAGCAAGGGCAGCACACAGTGGGTGTTCACGTGTCCATGGGGCAGGTGCCATACCAGGACAATCCCATAACAAGACAATCACTTGAAAAAGGGCAAGACTGGCCCACAAACCACTCAGCCAGGGTGGCAACACCACACTCAGGTGGCAGGGGACCCCAGAGCCTGTGGATTCTGCTGCCCCCACTGCTTACTCCCTGTATCTCCTGTTCCCTTCCCAGTGGGAGGAGAATCGTGCCTCCTGAGCGTGATGCAGAGGTGGGGAGAGGGCACAGCGCTAAGCTCTGAACATCACCTGAAGGGTGGCGGCTTTGTACTCAGAAAACAGGAGCAATTTTGGGAGCTGAGGCTCAGACTTAAAGGTCTCAGTGGTGTGGGGGCAGGAAACAACACAATGGTGCTCAGGGGTCTGGGAGGCCCCTGCAAGCTCCTGCTTCCCCCACCCGCCTGTCTCCAGCTCTCCACACCTTGGTACAGCTGCCACCAATGTCCCCTCCCAGCATGCCTAGGGGTTCTGAAACACCAGAAATCAGCGCCAGGGTGGCTCTAGAACTCACAGGGACACTGCCCACCACCCCAGCTGATGGGACAACCTCCAGGCTGACCACTAAGTTAGACCCAACTGCAACGGAGGAGGAGGCACAGCCCACATGTCCCAGCCAGCAGGTAAAGTAAGGGATGGGGCTGCCCTGCCTGCATCTGGGGAGAGGGATGTCCTCTGCCATGTCATCACCCTACATGGGGCCATTTCAGGCATGAGTGAGGATATGGGAAGTAATTAATGGTCAACCTGCAAGGGACAGGAGTTCATGCTGAGAAAGCGTCAACTGACTGACACTTGTCCAGGGAAGGCAAGTTCACAACACCCGACCCTCAGCAGAACTGAAACCACCCACCATGGAAAAAGCCTTGCGAGTGGAGGTCAAGGGCCAAGATCTGGGCACACTAGAGGATAAGATATTGAGTCCACAGTCATCCTTCAAAAGGCTGCTGGAGCCCATGAGCACTTTGGAGAGTTCACAGAGGACTGGGGACGGGGAAAAAAGCCAGGCCAGCCTCAACCTGGGAGCTCTTCTGAAACAGGTGGACCTCTTCCCGACTGCTTGCTCCTTCCCATGTTCCAAGAATAATTCGGGCAGTGTCCCCAGAGCTGGCCATCTTCCTTGATGTCCTAGGGTGGCGGGCCAGGCCTGCGCTCAGCATCAAGAGCCCAATTCCACCTTCAAAGCATTCAATGGACTTGCATGTAAGAACCAGCTTGACTCGGTTACTAGGAAACTGAAGTATATTTGGAGCATCTTGGAAATATAGCTTGATCTTTCTAGCAGTGCCTCAAACTAAGTCTAGATACTGACCAAGCATCCAATGAGAGCATATAAGGTCAGTCACAAACCAGAGCGTGATGACTGAGAGCAAAAGAAGAACCTGAGATAGTACTGCACTGATAAATCTTACATACTGGTCACAAGCTGGGTGTGCGACATCCTCATAAACTATCTCATCCAAACCCACTATAGCTGAACCTCAGGCTGCCAGCTGGGGCTCCTACCCACCTGTCTGCACCTGTCCAGCCATGATGTGGACCGACAGCACCACCTGCTGCACTGGCTTGGAAATGCAGCAGAGGACAGCAACCAAGGCAGGAGAGCTGGGTTCCTCACTCTTTGGGGAACATTTCCTGGGCTCAGCTGCTCTCCAGATCCCACAGGGCACCACGTCCCCCACCCGCCCTCAAAAGACCCACCTCCTGCCTCTCCCCAGGGCCTGTGGTCAGTCACCACCCTGAGGGCCTCACCTTTCAGCAGGTCCGAGAGTGGGGGACCGCAGTCACCTGGGATCGTGTAGTCCCCTTTCCCGATGTTCTCAAACAACTTGTAGATGTTGTCCCCTTCGAAGGGGTACAGGCCTGTTGTGATGTTGTATCTTCACCCCCGAGGAGAAGGACAGAGGCCCAGTCAGTCGGGGCTTCTCCTGCAGCCCTGGCCCAAAACCCACCTGGCACAGGAGCCTCAAACCAGCCCCACCTGTAGGGCCCCATACTGAGGGTCGGGAATGATCTGGAATAAAGGGTGGTGGCTGCGCTGCTGAAAATATCGGAAACTACTGGGCTGTGTGTATATTTTAAAGGGTGGGTCATGTGCTATGTGAAATTCTCTCAATGAAATACAAATGCCCAGCTGGTGGCTGCCCTGTGGCGGGGTGGTGGACGAAAGTTCTCGATGGGCAGCTGTGCCGGGACCTCTGAAGTACGAGTACCACCATTTCAGGAGTGAACAGGGTTCCAGAGAACTCTAATGGGCCCACCACCGCTGGTACTCGGAAGTGCTCAGGGACACGCTGTGACAGGCCAGCAGACCAATGGGGCAGAATGGCGGCAGGGGGCGGGGAGGGAAGGCAGCATGCAGTGGTTGGTTGAACAATACTTTCAACACTTTCAATTTGTTGTGTTTTTGAATTCCCAAAATAAAGCGTCAGGACAGAAGGTGCCCACGAGATGAGTGTGGCCAGGTGTCAACTGATGAGAATAAAGACAAACAGGGCCCTCAACAACCAAGGGGGACGCAGCCTTCACTCCCACTTGCAGGGGCTGCTAGCCCCAGCTCCAGCCACCCCAAGAGGGGCAGGATCCAGAAGCCTGAAGCCCGAGCAGAGTGGGTAAAAGAGGCGGCCAGAGCCCACTGTCACTTACAGGGTAACGCCAGCCGACCAGATGTCCACCTTGAAGCCAGAGAAAGTGTCCAGGCCATTGGCAATCTCAGGTGGCTGGAACGCTGGGGAGCCCTGGCTTGTCCTGCACGTGTCGTCCTCAGCAAAAGGGTGCAGGGCCTGTGACAGAGCCAGGTGGCCTAAGGAAGCGGCCTCAGGGACTGCCCGGCCCCCACCCTGTCCTTGGGTCCTACCTCAGCCACACCCAAGTCAGAGATCTTGAGCGTGCCACTGGTGGTAAGCAGCAGATTGCCCGGCTTGATATCCTTATGCACAATGCCCTGGCTGTGCAGGTACTCCAGACCATCCACCAACTGGCAAAAGTACCTGCAGAAAACAAGGGCCGCCTGGGGTCACCGAGCAAAACCAAAGACAAGAGGCCACAGTTTGGGAGCCACCAGAGCCAGCAAACAGAGAAATGACAGGACAGGAGGCTCCTCAGGAAACCACGGGCCACAGGTGAGGCCGAGCCACTCCTAGGCCCCCTAAGGCTTCAGTCACCCGTACTCAAGCCTCCTGGGGAGGCTACAGAAGGGCTCTCTGGCTTCCCACCTGCCTCTCCCAACCAGGCAGCCCTTCCTTCCTTTCCCCATTATGTCAAGAGATGTGTAACAATACCCACTCCCCAATTGCTCTGACATAGACACAGCCATATAGCCCCCTCTGGAGCCCTCCCTAGGGCCCAGGACCCAGGCTCACCCTGCCAGCCTTCCATTGAGGCCACAGGCCAGCTGGTACTGCGGCAAGGAAGGGGGATGACACCTCAGGGGGGTCAGGCAGCCAGCGGCAGTATGGGCCACTGTCATGGGCTTCCTAAGGACCAGGAAGTCTCAAAGCCTCAGGAGCAGGCATACTGGTGCAGGGGATGTGCAAAGAGGAGCTACCTACCTGGGGTACTGCAAACCAGGTTCCCCAAACTCTGAGTTTTAAAGCACACTTGAGCCTTCACGTCATTAGTAATCAGAAAAAGTTGTTGAAACACAGAACAGAGTCCTTGAAGACCTTGGGCCTGGGGATGACGTGGCAGGACAGACGGGCAGCCATAAGGCCTGGCAGCACACACTCACCCATGAGCCTGGCATACGGGGAACCGCTTCTCGGGCACACTGTCCAACATCTCCTGCATGCCACACACGCAGTACTCCATGACCATATACGTGCAGTGCTAAGGAAACAGCTGGGGAGAAGGCTCTGGAAAGTGCTGGGGGGAGACCACAGGCAGCTGGTGCAGGAGAGACCACAAGTGGCTGCGTGTCTCAGGCCGGTAGGAAGGGGCTGCAGGGGCAAGGCTCCAAGGCCAGAGAACCCAGGGTCAGGCTAAAACCGCTACCCTTGGCTGTGTCTCCAACAGGGGCAGCCTTGATACAGACAGAGAGGAGCTGCATTTTGGGAACCCTGTCACCCGCACCAGTGAGTTGGTGACAGGCATCTGTGGAAGGACAGGGACTCCCTGGAGGGAACCAAAGCCCTTACACACTTGCCTCCAGGAGCTGGAGTCAGTCAGAGCCACACGCTCTGGAGAGAGGGAACCTTTTCCCCTCAGTAAAGGGCAAAGGCCAAGGACACTCCTATATTCCAAAGTGATACCTCTGGTCTCAGCAGGCGAGGCCCAAATGCCAGAGGGAGGGGGTATGCCCACCATGTGGGCACCTAAACATGGGGTCAGCCAGACTGAGGCTGGAGTGTCTTTTCTCCAGACCCAGTACTCCCACTCAAGCCATAAAGCGAAAGTTCGGGAATAACTGGGAAAACAGACACATGGGTGTCATGACCCGCGTCTACCCACCCTGACCCCAAAGGATATATCTTCTGCTTCTCCTCATTGTACAGCACATCCACGAGCTGGATGACGTTTTTGTGCCGCAACCTCCGCAGCAACTGAATTTCCCTGAAGAGAGGACAGAGTGTTAGTCAAGCCCACTGTGCAGTGGGATGTGGAGCTTGCTCTTGGGTGCTGCACACAGGACATGCCAGCTCTTAAGACACCAGGGGAACTAGGAGGTTCTGCCACTGTCCCTTCCATTGTACCAGTATGCACAGGGACAGCTGGTGGGGTGTGGACAGGGACAAGGCAATCAGGACACTTGTTATATATTTCAACTGCAGATGAACAATTTGTTATACAAGGGACAGTAGAGCAAGGTTGGCATGACCGAGTATTACGGGCAGATCTGGGCTTACAGAGGGGCCCCAGAGATGAGACTGTCAGACAGTAAGGCAAGGCCACGCCCATCCCCTGGCATCTTGTAAGGACTTCCTTCCTCTCCCAGCACTCCGCAGCCCTGCAAGAAAAACGACCCAACTTGCTTCATTAGAATGGACACTGAGGCGCCACTGACAACCTGGCACAACCCACACCTGTCAGCTTGTGACAAGGGCTGGGCCCAGAAAACACCCACATGCCCATCTATAGATGACATGGGCCCTCAAGAGCAGGGGCAGCAGCAATGGGAAGCCTGTGGTGGAGCTCCACGTGCCTGGCTGCCCAATCCCAGAAACACCTTTCTAAATTTGGCAGAGAACCCACAAAACTGCATGGCTGCGCTGGGAGTGGGAACCTCTACTGCTCATCAGGGGGCTTTGGAGAGCACACCCCAAGTTCTGACTGATAAGAAGACCCACCCATAGTTCTGCATCCCTGTATCTGAAGATCACCCGAGACCCATCTCCTGGGCTGTCAGGAGCAAACTCTGACACAAAGTAAACGATGGCATCCTGTCCTCTGCAGTGAGACAGCTCAGTGCTCCTTTTGACACCAATAAAGTGTGTTCTTTAAAAAAAAAGGGGGGGGGCTCCATCCCCTTAACTTAATGAAGCTGATCCACTGTGGAGGAGTGTTTGTTTGTCTGTCCAGTACCTGGATCAAGGTACTCTCTGTAAACATGGAAGTTCCACTACTCATACCAGGAAAGAACAGACACAGCATCAGCTTCGCAGAGATGGGGCAGTGGGCACCACGTGCCCCAGCAGCAGAAGCATGTGTGCTGACAACACCTTACACAAGGTAACTGGAGACACACCGTTAGCATGACCTGAGCTGCCTACCAGCTTTCTGTGGTAGCTGGTAGTAGCTACCAAAACCATTACTGCAGTGGCCGTGAGAGCCCAGAGGGGATTCCATCACTGTCTACCTCGTCAACCTCTCCTACAGGTTGCCTCTCTGGCCAGAAAATGAGAACAATGTTTATAGAAAAAGGAAAGGCCAAGTGCCCAATCAGGATGCAGGAAGTGAAGGAGAGGAAGTGGCGCCTCTCAGGTCAGGGAGGCTGCCTCTGCTCCTCCAGACCTGCCATGGACAATACCTGATCAAAGTGGACTGTTCCGTGACTACGATTAACAGAAGAGAAAATGAAGAGCTAGGGTCAAAGATTTAGAGGAATGGAAAGGGGATGCCTCCATGCTCAGGCCAAAATACATGGGAATAAGCAGGGGAGACAGAGCCACGCCACAGCCGTTCCTCAGGAACTACCCCACCTTGCTCCCCTCCGTATGTGAGGCAGGCCCAGGGCTGATGGTGGCTCTGGCAGAGGGACATTGAGCAACATCCCCTTACCTCCTGGTCCTTCTGCAGACATTTCTAAACATATGGCAAGAGGCCTTCAGGGGTAGAAGAGGGACTAAAACAAGGGGAAATGTGCTGTAAGTGATCGACACAATATTTGCACATAAACATTCACAGCAGCAGGATTCATAATTGCCAATGAGTGGAAACAACCCAAATACCTATCGACAGATGATGAATAAACAGAATGTGGCCACCCACACAGTGGATTATTACTCAGTCATGAAAAGGAGTGAACATTGATACTTGCTACAAGGTGGATGGACCTTAAAAACAAGATGCTCAGTGAGAGAAACCAGATACAATAGGCCACACAGTGTGTGATTCAACTTATGTGAAATGTCCAGAACAAGCAAATCCACAGAGACAAGAAGTGGGTTCATGGTTGTCAGGAGCTGGGCCGGAGGATGAGGTAACTGATGACAGAGATGGGACTTCTTTTGGGGTGATGGAACATTCTGAAATGGGTAGTAGTGAAGGTTCCAAAATCTGTGAAAGTTCTAAATGCCACTGAATTACATATTAATCGGGTGAATTTTATGCTACATAAGTTATATCTCAATAAAGCTGTTAAAACACATAAACTAAAGCTCAGCCGCAGGACGGGTGGATGGAAGGATGCGAGACAAAGGGCAGCGCTGGCTCTGATTCCCAGCACACTCACAGGCGAGGAAGCAGATTCCACATGCACCCTGGCCCAGTAACCCATGCTTCCACTGCATCTCAGAGTCCTATTCCCACCCCCGCCCCCTCCCCAGTCAGGGAAGGACCAGGCACACAGGGAGACCCACAGAACATTCAGTGCAGGTGAGCGCCAGCAGATGGGCTGTGCCCTCTTGCTGTCGCCTCCGGCAGCAGCCCAGCCTGGGCTCACAGTGGCATCCTTCCCAACACTGAGGGGGCAGGCAGCCCAGCAGATATCGGGACCTTGTAGAGGCCACTTGGGACACCAATGAAACCCAACAAAGTCCAGGGTTCCGGTCCTCAACGTGCTAAAACCACCACCATTCATCATCATTCAGATCCAAGTACCTGCCAATCACTGCAAGGTGCTCCCGGTCTCGCCAGGCCCAGCAGGGACACTAATGATTGCTCACAGAGCTGCCACCCCTCCACTGAGGACCCAGCCACACAGGGGGCAGACAAGGGAAAAGGAGGAACAGCCTGTGTGGCCAAGTATGTCATACTATGTCACCTTCCTAACACAGAGAGCAAACATGCACCAGAAACCACACTCAGAAAAGAGGTTGTAATGTGACACTGAGTTGCAGTGGACCGGTGGGTCTGGAGAGATTATCAAACTCACGCACACTTCCTCTGACCGAGAAACTCCACTTCTGGCGATGTGCCCTTCACACCCTTGAGCTTGTCACACGACATGTCTCAAAGTAACTCACCAACACAGCAAACAGGTCCACAGCACAGGGAGGGTCAGACCCAGCCCTCATGGACAGAGCCCCATCTGGGGACAGAAAGGCAGTTCAGCCTGGGCTGCAGGGCAGGACACCCCATGACTTTGTATAGTCCTGAGCAGGAGTGAAACTGTTTCACTTTTCTAAACAGTTGATGGGGGGAAAAAAAAAAACCCACAAAAACCACTAATTGGTGACTTCAAGACACCATCTGTGCAGTTGTAACAGAGGTTTCCCTAAGTCCTAAGCACAACTCGTCCGGCTTGACCCATTCACCATATGCGCCCACCTGGTAGGGAACTATCTATACCTACAAGAAACCTTGCCCCAAGAAGGTGCGGGACTGACCCAGCCGGGCACCTTTCATGGGTTCAATCCGTGAATTACTACTGCCTATTGGAAAAACAAGTAACATACAACTTATTTTTAAAAAGCAACCCTTGCCCTGGCTGGGTAGCTCAGTTGGTTAGAGCATCATCCCTATATACCAAGGTTGCAGGTTCAATCCTCAGTTAGGGTACATACAAGAATCAACCAATTAATGCGTAAGTGGGACAACAAATTGATATTTCTTTCTCCCTTCCTCTCATTCTCTAAAATCAATCAATAAATTTTTTTAAAAAGTGATCCTTACAATAGTTTTATTTTTCGTTAGATTGGATAGGGTAAGAAAACAAATAAAAAAGGAAGTGAGGCAAGATACATTGGTACTGAGATTACAAGAAATTTTTTATTTTTACTTGATGCTTTTTGGAACTTTCTTTTTTTTATAAGAACAAGCAAGAGGCCACATGCAGACCAACGGCAGCCTTCCCAGAGGAAGCCTATGAAGGGAGAGGTATTCTGACCTGTCCCATCACCTGGGCAAACATTGTTCTTTCAGAAAAAACTTTGGTTCAACGGAGGCTTTTCTGGGAGGTTCTAGACACTCTGAGAGAGCAGCGGCTGCAGTGAAATTTATTAATCTCTCAAAGAAGCCTTTTTCCCTGATAGCGGACTGGCTGGCAGTGAGGGCTGCCCAGGAGCTGACACCTGTTCCCCTGCCACCACAGCTCTGTACAGGGCAGGCCCACCCAGTCTCCTCCTGCAGACTGGGGACAACAGGGCAGGGGCTCAAGAAAGGACAGCTTGAAGCCAGTGCAGCACTCCAAGGGAAACCTCAAAAAGGTCCAGGCCCGACACCCAGGTCCAGGCCTGAGCCAATGAAATTGGGCAGTAGCTCAGTGCCTGCTGCTGACACCTTATGCTAAATGTCAGGTTGGCTGAGGACCACCCACCACTGGCTTGCTTCCCCTCTGGTCCTTCCCAGAGACACTGCAGAACTGGTTCCATGCAGCCTCAAGACTGCACACCCATGTGTCTCCATAAGTTCCTGGGAGCTCAGCCAATTCTTCAGGAAACCAGTAGCGGGATGCCAGTGCTCTGTGGCTCCCAGCTGGGCTCTGGTCATGTGTGTCTCTAGTAGAGCATGAGGGAGCTCTTGAGTGGTGAAATGCCCTCTAACATGACTTTGGTGTGTGCAAACTGTGTCTCCTGAATGGGTGCCTTTAACACAGGTACATTACACCTTAACAAAGGGGGGCCCTCAGCCCAACCCAACACACCCTCCATCATGGCCAGGGAATGCAGACCTTCTGGGACCTGCTGACCCTACAGCCATCAGTCAGTGGCTGGTCCACACAGTGAGGCCCCCAGCTGCTAACAGGGTAGCCTTGGGTGGGTGACTAGCCAGACACATCGATTGGTACTGGAACCTGGCCACTGGGATGCGACTCTGGAAGCCCCTCCTAACTTGGGCTGCTGCACTCAAGAGGCTGGGGCCTCAGGGGCACAGCAGTAGGACATCAAGCAGCCAGCACCAGAACACATCATGGACTAATGCCAACTCCATCCCGAGGGCTCAGTCACGCAGGA